ATTATTGAATGTTGAATTAGGTGATGTAATTTTTTTTTCTTTATTTTGAAGTTTCCCATTTTGTATTTGTCAAAATTAGTTGCTAAGACTTATACGACATCGTTTAATACCGAGCCAATCAATCTGCAAATATGAAAAGTTCTCTATAATGGATAATCACAAATTTTGTTCTGCTTTTAAGCTGATGAGTTGGTGCTGGACTACGTGAGCCTTCTAATTCAAAATCTTAAATTTGTATTTTTTAAGGTAACTTTTGAATAAAAAATGGACCTTTCTTAGTCCTTTCCACCAAATGGACCTAGCCAACCACAATTACACGAAGCAAACAATATTGACCAAAAACAAATAAAGCAATCATCTAAGTTCCATGTGTACACCAAACTTTCTTTAATGTGCATAGTTCCACCCAACAATTTATTTTCTTAAACCTAGTGGTCCCATTTACTAATTTATTTATCTTTTGTTTTTATAAAGGATTGAGTAATTTTTGGGAGATTCTTTTTCAGTTAAAGAAAAGAGGGGTTCTACTTTTTTTTTTTTCTAGTAAAAATGATGGGTTTCATTATTCAATATAATTTGAAATTTAAAAAGATAATACAATAAGATTAATTATGAATTTAAATGATTAAACCCTTATTTCCACCTTAAACATTATTGTTTTTTTTTTTTTGGTTGTCCATACCCTTCAAAATTTTCACTCTTAATTAACACCTTTCGAAATTTGAACCTCATAAAAACACTCTAAAGTTAATGATCAAATTGACAAATCCCCATATTTGTGCCCTAAGAAGGTGAAGTTTGAATTTCAAATAAATTAGCTAATTTTAAATAGTTTTTATTATATAAAATTCTAATTAGATTTAAGTAAGATTTTCAATTTTTTTTATCTTATAGATAAATTAATAATATTAATTTGAATTCATTTAGTTTTTAGTTTTTGGATAACAGTGAAAGTAAATAGATAATTACTATTCTAATTTACAAAAGAAAATTTGAAATATCCAACTAAAATCATAATTTGAAAATAAATTTAAAAAGAAAATATTAAAATAAGCTGATAAATAAAAGAGTTATCTAGACACTAATAAAGTTTTACTCCCTCTGCTCATTTTTAATAAATTTTATTTTATTTTTTAACTTTTTAAATATAAAATTTAAATAAAAATTTAACATATTATATAAGTACTAATTAAATTTTTTTATCAAATAAAAATATTTAACAAGAATTTCGTGTAGATAAAAAAAAATTTAATTATTATTTATATAAATTATTAAATTTTTATTTAAAATTCGTGTTTGAAATGTTAGAAAGTTAAAATAAATCTACTAAAAATAAGCGGAGGGATTAGTTTTTTTTAATATTTTAATCTTAATATATTTTGAACCTGAATAACAGTAAAATTTAATAAGTAAGATTGATCTAAGTTCTTTGTTCGTATATAATTCACCAAACATAAGTTGCATGATAAAGGTAGAGTTTCGATACTCGAAAATTTCAAAATATGATATAAATTGCAATTTTTATTTACCATAAATAACAAGTAATTCAGTCTACTCCTTTTACGCTTTTACTATAGTATGTAATTACTGATAATGCTTTCATGTTTGCTTTTAAGATTGTTTCAATTAGTAAAATGATAAGTATTTAAATTAAAAATTTTAAATTATGATAAGATTACACTGTGTTACGTGTTAGGGGCTATGTTTGGAAGAGTTGGTAGGAAGTCTTTTTGGACTCCAAAAGCTTCAGCTGTACCAAATATTACAATTTGTGAAAAATGCTACAACTTTTAAAAAATGTTACAACTTTTCATAAGTTTTTTCACAAGTTAATATTTTGTCTATTTCATTGCAAATCTTAGGAGTACCGAATTGGTGTTTCTATAAGAGTTTCTCATTTAGGTTTTAATGAAATTAACGTATTATTCTTTTTTTATCTTTATTTTTCTTTCTATTCATAAAAATAACATTTCTATAATAATTTTTTTTCTAACAAAACTACTATTAAAAACTTCAACCACATTAATCAGGCACTAGGTAAGGTAACATAAAAAACACACTTTTATATTCTATTATTTTCCTGCAATATTTTTTTTTTAATAAAAACAAGACACATTATAAGTCTAAAACTATCAATGCAGAATTACGTAGAATTTACCTGTAATAATTTAAGGAAATAATATATACACTTTTTAAAATTAAACATTTTATTATACACTCACGATTTTTATTAGTATTCCATTAAAATTAATAGTTTTTATTATTTATATTGTTAAAACTAACTATTTTTATTATTTCTACCGTTAAAATTAATAATTTTTATCAATTTTAATAACACATTAACTAAAATCTTCAATGTATAACAGAATTTATTAGTCATCAAAATATAACAAAATATATAATTTTTAAAAAGTGTATATATTAATGCCCAATAATTTAATACTCCGTAGTCCATACAAGTATACAACACAATAAACTCGTGCCTATTGCTAGAAAAAGAAATTCAAATCTTGATAACATTAAGGAAAGTCTAGTCTAGTAATAATACCTGGTAGAACGAGAATAACCATTAATGGAGGCAACAAGCAGCAACATAAACTTGAAAATTTTAAAAGAATTCATAGAAAACTAAAAAATTAATTTTGCAAAAATTAACTTTCAGGTGCAGTACAAAAATGTCCAATCAGATAATTTTCAAGAGGTCCTCAACAAACATGTTTATTTTATTAGGTAATTATAAATTATTTTTCTGATATAATCAAACGGTCAGATTTATTTTCTACGTTTCAATAAAAGGAATCAATATCATACTAACATATGTATTGGTTTTATTACTAAAATGGTACGTATTGAATATCAAAATTTTTTATGTACCGTTTCAGATTTATCGCTATAAATATATATTTTTATAAACTAAATATCAAAATTTAAAATAAGTTAAGGAATACTAATATTTAAAATTATCATATTTCTATAAATTAAAAACAAGATTAAAATAATCATTTTTAGTCCCTCAACTTCTAATATATGCATATTTTTTTTCCATTCACTTTAAATTAAGAGACTAAAAATGTGTATATTTAAATAAATTTAATAAAATAATTGATAAAAAGATTAAAAAAAATGAAGAATGGACTAAAAAAGTATATAACAAAATTAAAAGATGAAAATCATGTAAAACATTAAAGTTAAGGACAAAAATGAAATTTACTCTTTTTAAATTTGAATTGAATTATACCGACAATTTTTGTGTACTGGAAGGAAATTGCAATTGCGAGAAGGCCTTAACCCAAAACGATGTCGTTTTGGGTCAGGAAATCCTTTTCTTTTTTAATTTGTCAGTGTATACTAGTCGAAATTTCAATAAATCGATTCATACACTGAAATTTCAATCGATGCATCGAATTTTGACTGAAATAATCAAATTTTGATCAAAATAAAAATTAATATTATATCATTTTGATCTACTTAAAAAATCGATACGTATCAACTGTATCAATCGGTATGGTACGGAATCAACTTCTTTGGTTTCAACGCTAAAGGCCTTGAATTAGTGTCGTATTATCTTTTGTGAACTAAGATTTCAAATCCCATCCATTCTCGTCTAGCACTAATAAGTAGTTTAGTGGGTCATTGCTTTGAAGGAAGATACTTGAATAAGGAGTCCTGCGTTTTATAATCAGAAATTTTTAATCTCCCTCTATAAGTTTTTTGAAGTAAAAAAAAAAAATCCCATAAATTCTCTTTTTTTAATCTTTATTTAATTAAATATGTATTAATTTTTATTTTTAAACTTAAAGAATAATTGGAGAATGGAAAATTTTTTCAAATGGAAAATTTTTTCAAATCATTATTTGGAGAAACTCTTGATTAACTAAATTTAAAATTTTAAAAATAAATTATTGAATTTAAAAATTCAGTTATATATTAA